CTCTCTCTCTCTCTCTCTCTCTCTCTCTCTCTCTCTCTCTCTCTCTCTCTCTCTCTCTATGTCAATTATTATATAAAGGATATTTGCTGAGGAGCAACTCAGCATCAGGTCGTTCCTTTCTGACAAAGCGAAATGAAATATTCTCGAAACATTGGGATCAGACAAAGAAGAATTCGCGCAGCTCAAGTCTGGAAATCAAATCTAATAAAGAATCTGAATGTTCTTTTAGTGAAGCTTACTTAGATGAAGAGTTGGCGCTTATGTAGTGGAATAAGAGCAACGCGCAATGGGGTTTTCCTGACATTCAACCGATTAATTATCTATTAATTACATTTATAAGAGCTAGAATGCAAACCTGTCAACAAGGCGCTTTGGATACTATTAGAGCCCTGATCAGCCCAATAAATTTTTTTTTCGTCCGTATGATAGTACAATGATATCCTTGAATCTTTTAGCAACTTGCTCTCTACAAACAGCGATTTCGTACCCGTTCCATCCATTTGCATTTTATCTATACGATATTTATCCTTTACTTTGAACACTACGAACATTATGCTACAACATACAAGACGTGATACATTCTTTCAGAAATATTAGATTAATTTGTAAGTTCGTGCGAATTTTTGTTTATTAGCATTTGTATATTAGTATTAGAGTATTAGTTCCATACACGCAGTTGAAATCATCTATATATATGCTTTGATAGCTGACATTTCAGAGTATATTATATGGCGTAAATGGTGATGTTTGAAGAAGTACACAGTTATCGTTGTTGCAGCTTGATAGTAGAAGACAGTAATGAGTTTTTCCGGTGCATTGTACTTTCTTATTTTTGTAAAAATTATTAGAGTTTGGATGGAATGTTTTACTTTATCCACCATATTCATTCGATATTGTCCCCTTCCGCGATTATCATATGTTTCGCTTATACAGAACTCCCTTGGCGACATAAACTTTGTTTCTTTAGATGATGTGGACAATCACATGGAATGTCGAAAAAGTATAAAAATTTTACGAGAGGAGAATTATCAAATTACGTAATAGATGGCAAAAAAGATTGTCAGACAGAATGACAAATATATTACTGATTACAATTGTTTTCAACATAAAGTAAGATGCATTTCAAATTTGTTTAAAAATCTGCACGAACTTATAAATTAAGGAAACAATAAAAATTATAAAGACAAAATAAACAACTAAATATCATACCCTTCTTCAGGAGCCAAAGCGATGTTATAAGGTGTTTTCGATTGTTCCTCGAAATAAAAGATCTTCTTCGTCTTTGTCGTTAAGCTATGTACCTCAACAGTTTTTTCTTCTATATTTGTCAAATACAAATTATTACCAATATAATCAAATGCCATTCCTCCTAATGATTTAATATTCATGGCTATGAGGTTCTCAATTTCGCCGCTAATCGGGTCGTAGCGAAAAATATCATCCGTAAAGGCATTGCTTGCGAGTATAGTACCTAAATAAGATTTAATTGCAATTGAAGTTTTAATACTCCCTTCTCTCCCTCATTCTCTCTCTTTTTTTGTGATATGTATTTTTTATGAAATATTGATGTCGTCGTACCGGACAGCGAATCATAAGTAATCGCGGTAATGTTTCTAAAGATAACGCTGCTTGTTATTTTTGGCTTGCCTAACAAATTATGGTAATAATTTACGATTGTACCATCCGCAACTATGATAATATGTTGGCTGTCTTCTGTGTCTAAAACAATAAATATGTTCGTCTAAAAATATAATAAGTTTTGGTATTAATATCGACTTTCATATTTTATGACCAGCATAAAAAGTCAGACGACGTAGAGACAGTCGTCACTAATACAATCACGCTATACTTTTTGTATTTCTTGTACAGAACTATGTACTGCTTTGTTCAGCAGAAAACTTAAGCACGCATGTATAGAAATCATTCTGCAAATTTTTTTCGATATATTTAAGCTGCTGAACTCAAAGACGAAGATAAGCAATGTTCTTCAAAATTTTTGTGTTTAGAGCATCCACAATTTTGCAAATATTATGCTAACTGACAGCTTAAGATTCTACATTTTAATTTTTCTTTTCGTTTTCGTTACATATTGAGCAATGACTATTTATTTTCGCATGAACTGTCATTGCGTAAAAGCATTTGTAATTCTATATATCCAATACGACGTAAACTTTGCAGAAAAATATTAGTGTATTATCGGTAATGTTTCTAATTTCAGCGTTCCTCTTAATGACGATCGCCTTTACGTTATCGACATTTTTGAAGCTCGTCATGCACTTTGGCATCTCCTTAAACATGTGTAAAATATATCCAAAATGTTCTGAAAATTTCTGATCTGTATCATAGATTCTTTTTAATAGATGTCTCAACAAATGTATACCTTGACAAGTATGTCCATCGGAGTTCAATTTTTTGTCCAGAGTACATGCACATGTATAGTTTTTATTTTTATTTAACAAACAGAGTTGCGAGCATGGATTCAAAAAACAATTGTTTTGAACCTAAAATTAAACTGAATAATAATGTAAATGTTTTTTTGCGATACCAATTTTATCGCAATGTGAAAGAAATAATACTTTAGATTTCATTGTGGGATGGTAGATTTGTATGTCGTTGCTTGCATCGTAATCACGATTCGTATCTAAAATTTCCTGATTACATCTGGAAAATGCATTGCAGTATTGTATTTTCTGGGTTTTATCAAAATCGGAATACGAATGATAATTAATTTTTACATTCCAGTATATCTTGTTTTCGAAAATTGCCAGGGACATTGCTTGAGAGTTTATTTCGCGCGATATAATCTGTATAAATAATTAAATTATAATTATAATTATGATTATAATTAAATTGTAAAAAATTAAATTACAAATATATATTAAATTTTTCTTAAAGTATAGTTTCACTCGAAAAGTGGAGTGACCATTGAATCACTCGAATTTGAGTGACTTTTCATGTATATAGAGTGCCTTCTGCATTCTGAATCGTCAAATGAATATTTTTATTCGAAATTAAACAATGAATTTTCTGTAGTTCACCTTACATTAAAAAAATATATTCGCTCTAATCGATTGAAATATATGATCATATGAAATTAAAGTTTAAGTTGAGAAGTTTAAGCTTGAGAATTCTAAGCTTGAATAAAACACTCACTTTTGCGATTTCAATTGGTAATAGTTTCATTATTGCCTGAAGTGAAAATATTGCCACTTTTCACTTGTTTTGAGTGAAATTCCATTCCAAGAAATTCGGAGGATATTTCCTTAATTCTTATTCACGTGTCGTAAATATCTCATAACTAAAAAAGTAACTAAAAACTTACTGACCTTTCGATCGGTGCCGTCTAATCGTATAGATTCAATTGTCATTAAACCAATATCCATCCAATACAATCGATTGTTTGGATAGTCGATGGTTAAACTCTTTGGATATTTTAACTTTTTAGTGATTAATAAAGTAATATCGTTGCCATCCATTCCTGCCATTGCTATGTACTGCTTATGGCTCGAATCGCACCAATACATTATTCTGTAAGTATTATTGTATATAAATTATATATATTCCATATTAAACTCAACCAATTTAAACAAAATAATTTTGATATTTGATTTGCTTGAATAATACACAATATATTATTGTATAATATATAATATAAGATATAATCAATATATTAATTTGTTTAATACGCGTGTCTGTAGATTAAGATTCTGAGAATATTAACGAAGTTTATAATTTTGTCGCTATGATTTCAAGATGAGGAACTAATTTATAATTATTTAAACTTATTATTTCTTCTACTTGTAGAAAACTCCTACAAGTAACTTCTATGTAACAATTTGCTGTTACGTTTTGTTGAAGTGAATCATTACTTTTACAGACTTTCAGAGATCTTTTGTGGTAATCTTAAGAAACAATGATAAATGGATCGGAAAAATTCGAATGTAAAATTGTTATTTATATAAGTAGATTTAATTTTAGTAAGATAAGATCATTATTTATACAACAAAATTTAAATTTTCATAATATATATAATATTTACCCATTGGTCGGTAATAAGGCAATCGCGGTAGGTTTTTTAGTTTTTCCATTGATTAATATAGTGCAATACGTCCCATTGTTGTCACATACTCCAATATTCATATTACCCTTATCCGTGAAATATATATTGCCTGTGATCCAATCCACGGCTATGTCCGACACTTCGTCCAAACCTTAGCGAAAAATATGCAGAAATTAAAAAAATATATAATAATATATAATAATAAGTTAAATTTGTAAATTGTAAACTACAGAAAGTAAAGAGATTCTATTTCAATTTCTGGCTGTAGTAATGCTTTTTCATAACATTATTTTGTAAAAAAACGGGAAGATACTCTAACGGAGGTTCCTAGTAAGTATTACGTTTTTTATTATAATAATAAAAGTATACGCTAATATAAGTAATAAAAATATTATTTCATTTATTATATTAATAAAAATTTAAATAAAATTTTTATTCGTTTTTTATTTGTTACCTTAATAAAAGTAGACTGGTTTCGCTTGAAGTGTAAAAACACGTTAAATTTATGCTATTGACGAGGTTTGGTTATGTTACTAGTTTGCGACTGTAGTAATCTTATATTGCTCATGGCGTATAAGCCACCAGAATTGAGGAAATTATTTTTGAAAAGTAATATGTTACTGTTAGTCGTCATCTATTGAAAAAGTAATTTTGTTATCACTATCTTTACTCAAGAATTAATATCTTACAATTTCCGTTACTTTTATCACTAAATTTTGCACATTTATTTTTAGAATTTGTTTTTTCCCAATCATTTTTTCTATATACATGTATTCAGTGTGTCTGAAGTAACGATGGAACTATCCACTATATTCATACCTGTTATCTAAAAAACATAATTGTGCTACCATTACTAATGAAAAAAAGTAACGTTATTAAATCGTTATTGAAATGAGTAACTTGTAAAGTCGCTTTATAAATAACACGTTATTTCCTAATTCTGTAAATTATGCACAGAAGCGACTTTCCTTTTATTTGGTTATTGTTTTATATTGTAAGAAAGTATAATATTTCCCGCGCGCGGTGTGATATAAATAAAAACATTATTTCCATCTCTCTGGTTCTCAATAATCGTAATAGAGAAATATTATTAATTACAGTATTATTACTTACCTAAGTTAATTACAGTATATTTACCTGTTATAAGGATATATTCTCTTTTTCCGTTTTTGGTAGCTTTCATTATTTTTTTATCCTTGGTTGACCAGTATATATATTCGTTGTCCATAGCAACCTGATTGATCTGATTTAAATCTTCCGCTACGATAAAGTTCGTTTGCGAATCGAGATATATACCACGAATTTTTTGTCCTTCACTGAATATCATTACGGCCTCATCACCTAAAGTGCAAAAGAAAGTTTTTGTATTTTCGTTATATGTATCTTTATTGTGGAACTGGTAAATTAATTTACCATCGGCTTTGCAAGTTTTCATGTCATCTTGCAACGTATAACCTGTCTGACAGATACATTTGTATGATCCTTCGGTATTCAAG